AGAAAGAGAGAAATAAATATAATAATAATAATAATAATAATAATAATAATAATAATACACAGCCTTGGAGCCCAGGTGCCTACACTCAAGTCTTATTCCTTACCCCCTTAGCAGTATGGCCTTAAGAAGCCCTGTCACCTCCAAGAGCCCTAGGCCCACACCTGGGAAATACAGAATGCTAAGAGCTCTGTCAGGGTGGTGGACGGTGAGGGGGGTGCACTCTGAAGATACAAACACCTAGCATCACACAGAAGCCTGGTCTAGGGTCTGGCAGCCACAGCAGTCCAGGAGACCTTCCTGGAAGGGGCAGCTCCTGAGCCTTCTTGGCAAAGGAGGACTATACTTCACTTAAGGCAACAGTGTTGGGATTCCACCCAGGAACTCAAAGAGGATCTTCCTTGTTTTCAGGCAGAGAGGCCATGGGACCCAAGCCAAAGCTACCCAAAGTCCTCTGCTGCTCATAGGAGTAGTTAGGGACCAGCTGGAGCATGTGGGGGCTATTGGGGAAAGGCAGGATAGATGGCTGCTCCTGCGTCCTGCCTCGTGTGACTTGCTGGAGCAGGAGCAGTCACAGGGTGGGACATGGTAGGCCCTTGCCCCCCCCCAACTTCCCCACACACCCCCACTGTCCCTGGCACACAGGAGGAAGAACTGGTAGAGCTACTGGCCTGTCACTGCTACATGAAGCTCGGGGCCTCAGTGAGGAGTGAGGCTGTGCAGGAGTTGCTGCCAAGCTGTGTCCCCTCCAAGCTGTACCGGACCAAGACTCCAGAGAAGTGGGTCAACCTCATCAATGCAGCACACGCCAAGGTCAGTCTGCAGCAGGCTTGGGTGCTTTGGTCCCGGGAGTTCCTTTGTGGGGAGAAGCCCTAGGTGTGCAGAGGAAGGTATCCCCTCCCAAACAGACTCCCACATGCCAGGGACTGCAAAGTTTCAATACTACAGGTACAACCCTGATTCAAGGGGCAAAAAGCTTCCTTCAGCTCAACACCTCTCCACAGGCTTCTGTTACCAGCCCTCCTCCTTCCAGGTGGGGCTCTTTGTCCCAAACAGCTCTGCCCTGAAGCGTCTGGCTGACTCTGTCTCCCAGTTATGTGGCCCCAGCACAGGCCTGCCCTTGAGTTCCTCCTCTCCCAGGCTTCTCAGTGTTCCCTCACTAAGGCATGTAGGACTGGGTAGCCTGGAACTCCCTATGCTGACTGGGCTAGCCTCAATGTCACAGAGAACAGCCTGCTTCTGCCTCCCAGTGCCAGGGCTAAAGGCGTGTACTACCATACCCAACATAACATCCTAAGTCTTTGATACGATACATACCAAGTCATCCTTCAGACATGATGTGACCATTTATATGCCTAAAGCCAGTACATGAATGTTATAAAGTAGGAACAAGAGAAATAATATTTGACCCAACAGAGAAAAGGAAGCTTAGAGGGACATTATAGACATAGCAGAGTAGAGACAGAGAGGAAGGGATCAAGAAGGGAAGAGGCCAGCCAGAGGGAGGAAGGAATTAGAGGGAAGGTGGAAGAAGAGGTCCCTGCAAGAGGCCCCCAAATATGAAGAACTCTAAGAAGAAAACCGAAGAGAGGTGCCCAGGACCCAGGAACACACAGCAAACTAGCCCTTACAGGCATGTGTTGACAACAACAAACCATGGTAGTCAGTTTCCTATTGCTGTGACAGAATACCTGGGGAAATTCACTTAAAAAGAGAAAAGAGGCTTTGGAGATGCCTTGGTAGGTAAGGTGCTTGCTGTGCAAGTCTGCCAACCTGAGTTTGGGTCCCCAGAACCTACATAAAGCCAGGCACAGTAGCACAAGCATATTTAATTCTAGTTTGCCCCATAGGGAGATAGGAAACAGAGACAGGAGAATCTCTAGTAGCTGGGGATTGGTGGGGGGGGGGGGTAGATAGCCTGGTATACATAGCAGGGAACAAGAGAGACCCTGTCTCAAGCAAGGTGGAAGGTAAGGACCAACACTCAAGGTTGTCCCCTGATTCCATATGTTCACCATGGCACCCACAGGTCCACACTCACATATACATACGGATACACACACACACGAACACAAATTATACACACAGACACACACACACACACACACACACACAAAAACAAGAGGAAAGGTTGAGCCAGATGTGGTGATGCATACCTATAATCCCAGCACTAGGAAAATAGAAGTGAAAGATTAGTATACTGTTCAAGGCCATCTTAGGTTACAAATCAGATTGGATGTCAACCTGGGCTACATGAAACCCTGTCTCAAAAACACCAACAAAAAGAAACAAAAGTGTATTTGGCCCAGAGTTGAAGAAATTTCAGTCCATGGTCACTTGGCTCCACTGTTTTTGGAGAAATATCACAGCAGGGAGCTCACCTGATGGCAGTCAGGAAACAGAGGAAAAGAGGTAGGGGACCCCAATATTCCCATCAAGCACACAGCTCCAATGATCCCAGTTCCTCCCACTAGGCCCCACCTCCTGAAAGTTCCATCACTTCCCACCTGTGGCCCAGACTGGTGACCAAGCCTTAAACACCTGACCTTGGTAGATATTTTAAATCCACTTAAGGGACTGAGGAGATGGCTCAGTCAGTAAAGTGCTTGCCACACAAGCATGAGGACCTAAGTTGATCCCCAGAACCCGTGTAAAACAAAATGTGGTGGTGTGCACTTGTAATCCTAGCACTGAGAGGCAGAGACAGGCAGATCCCTGGGGCCTGCTGGCCAGTCAGCCTAGTCAGCCTAGTCTACTTGATGAGGCCGCTATCTGCCCTACCCCACACATCAGATGGAAGACCTGGTCTCAAAAAACAAAGTAGATGGTGTCAGAGAAGGAATGATAGCCAAGGTTGTCCTCTAGCCTATACACACATACACACACACACACACACACACACACACACAGATGCATGTACACTTGAATCTCAAATACACACAACATGAACACATGCACATGCAAATAATAGTAATTATAATAAAATAAAATCTAGCCTAGGGACATGCAGGCACACAGAGCCTCCATGCCAAGACAGTCTCTGCTTCCTGACATTTATGCTACAAACCCTTCCACCCATCTGTAGGCCTCTCCTCCAGGGGTATCTCTGGGGTCCAGTGGGACTGGGCCTGATCCAGACCATCCCCAAAGCATCCCTTACCAGACATTGGCTTTGCTTTAAGCAGAGGCTTTGCAGAATTACCCACCCAATTATCACTTAGAACACATGGAGGATTAATGATGGGAGGCAGGGGTGATGAAGATGATGCCCTGGGTCATCCCCTCTACAGGCACTGTATACCCAGGCTCGAGCCACACCACTACAGGTGCAGGAACAGGTAGTAGATGCTGCCCGTCTACAGTGGCCCCTGCTCTTCTCCCGGCTCTTTGAAGTCACCACGATCTCTGGTAAGGGCATCTGATGTGTGGGGTGGGGCAGATAGGGAACTGCTTATGGTAGCTAGAACGGCTTTCACTCTTGGGTATCCTCTGGCCAGGCCCCCGCCTTCCCAAGACACAGCTGATCTTGGCTGTGAACTGGAAAGGAATTTACTTCCTGGACCAGAGGGAGAAGATACTGCTGGAGCTGTCCTTCCCAGAAGTCATGGGTCTGGTCACCAACAGGTAGGCCCCAAGTCTGTCACTTATACACATTCACACATTCACAGACACAGACACACACACACACACACACATACACATACGCACACATACACACGCACACACAGACACCAAAAAAAAAAAAAAAAAAAAACACCGGAGGAAAAAATGAACCCAGATGGGGGGATGTACACTTAAATTTGCACCTAACCCTTTGGTTTAGAACACGCACAGAACCAGGGCTACATACCATGACCCTGGCTCAAAAGACACAAAAAAAAAAAAAAAAAAAAGCCCAGGAGGAAAAGTTGAGCCAGATGAGGTGATGTACACTTGTAATTGCAACCTGAGCCTTTGGTTTAGACACACCTAGGACTCAAGGACAGATCTGCAGAAAGGAGGGGTGGCTTGTCCTCAGGAGCCAGGCTGGGGTGGAAGGACAGAGTCAGCATGCATAGTAGCTACAGGTCTTGGGAACCCCACTTCCAGGGTTCTGAACTCCTAGAAACTCTTCTGAACTGTCTGGGAAGTCCAGCCCACACCCTACCAGAGTTGCCCTAATCATAATGTTGACTGGTGGGCTACACTGGGAACACACTGATCACTACTCCCTGAAGCCCAGCACTTTCTTGTATAAATCATAACACCAAAGCTTCATGGTGTCACCCATTGTGTTAGCTAACTTTCCTATTACCATGCAAAAATATGTGACAAAAACAATTTAAGGCAAGAAGGGTTTATTTTGGCTCACATTCTGAGGGTACAGTTCATCATTGATGAGGAAGGTATCAGGAATGTGAGGCAGCTGGTTACATTGAATCCATGGTCAGGAAGAAGAGAGAGATGAATGCTGGTGTTCAGCTCATTTCTCTTTCTTATTAAGTCCAGGATCCCAGCCTACCACATATAGGATGGGTCTTCCCACCTCAATGAATCTGGTCTAAAAACTGCCTCACAGATGTGCTCAGAGGCTTGTCTCCCAGGTTATCTAGATCCTGTCAAAGTGACAATCTATATTAACCATTGTACCCACTAGGCAGATGAATAAACTGAGGTACACAGGCTAGGTAACCCTCCAGGATTCCAGAGTGAACTCATAGCAGAAGTGATGCCTCAACTCAGCTAGAACATTCTGTGTGACATCCCTCATTACCTTCCCAGAGCAGCCTTACAAGCTAAGGCCTAGCACCCCCCACTGCCTCTGAGGCCCAGGGTTCAGTTGGTCACATGTCCATCACCTAGGACTTGGACCAACTTGGACTCAGACCTGGCTCTTCCAGGAACCCGAAGGAGCCCCGCTGTTTTCTCATCTGCAGCATGAGAGGGTCACCTTCTCTGAGGCTGCTGGGGTGCTAAAACGAGAGGGCATTGGGCCCCAAGTCATACCACACCATCTGTGCCCTCAGGGAAGCCCCAGGTGAGCGGAAACTGCTCCTGTCAACGCTGCACGAAGAATACGAGTTTGTCTCACCCAGCAGTGTGGCCATCGCAGAGCTGGTGGCTCTGTTCCTGGGGGGCCTGAAGGAGAGGTCCGTGTTCGCTATGGCCCTACAGGACAGGAAAGCCACAGGTGCCTGCTGGGGGTGGGAGGGCATTGTGGGACTGGCAGAAAGGTGTAGCTCTCTTAAATCCACAAGGCCCAGAGCAGAGCTCAGAGACACAAGTGTCACAATGCTGTGGGGTCGGCTTTCAGCAAGGCCTCTATCTGAAAGAGGGTAAAAGAAGAGTTCTCACACACCCTCAAGGCCACCTTTGTTTGCATAGTCACCCCCATCTGAAGGGACTTGCACCCCATCCCACAGTCACCACATTATTCCATTTTACAGATACCAAACCAAAGGCTCAGAGAGGGAAGTAGCTTGCCCAGGGTCATACAGTTCAGTTTCCCTGCAAGCAGGCACTCTAGCAAGTGCTGGACTGGAGCTTTTGGGTGAGGGTCAGACCCCAGACCTTGGCTACCTAGTCTGATTACAGGCATTATGGTCAAACTGGTTAAAATTTAAAGGAAAGAGTTCTGTGGGCACTATCTTTTCTTCTTCATCTTTTGGTTATTTGAGACAGGGTTTCCCTGAAGCCCTAACTAACCTGGAACTCACTATGTAGACCAGGCTAGCCTCAATTTCACAGAGATCTTCCTGCCTGTCCTACCTGAGTTCTAGGATTAAAGATGTGCTCCAGTACACCAAGCTATGTGGGTACTCTTAAAGGCAATAAGCATTTGCCCAGAATATATTATCCAGTTTCCCATCAGTTCTCACTGAGAATTATTCAGGAAATCTCACCTATGACTTACAGGTAGGAAAATGGGCTCAGAGATCACACAGCACTCTAGCCATGCATAGAGGCCACCAGCCTATGCACTCTGTCTTCTGCCCTACCTAATAGTCAGGCCCCAGAGGTCTCCTGGGCTTGGGCTATAGTCAGAGTTCCCCAGGTCTCCTCTCATGAGGGTTTAGCAGGTGACAACCCAGTACACCCTCTCAGAATGGCCTTGAGCCCACAGTTCTGTGCCTCTTTCTTCATCAACCAGACCAAACAAATCTATCCTTGAAATGCCAGAGCAGCCTGGGGCTCCTGCAAAGCCCTCAGTAAATATGGCATTCTTATCTCTACATGTGACCTGGACCTGCAGATGATACCACCCTCCTGCCGTTCAAGAAGGGGGACTTATTGATCCTCACCAAGAAGCAGGGGTTGCTGGTCTCCGAGACCTGGGCCCAGGGCCAGAATGATAGGACAGGCAAAACAGGGATGGTGCCCATGGCCTGCCTGTATGCCATCCCCACGCTCACCAAGCCTTCAACCCAGCTGCTGGTATGTCAGAAGCACACCTCTGCTCACTGTGGGCATGGTCCTGAGATACCTAGCATGGGGCCTCACTCACCACCCACACCCCTCCTTGTAGAGAGCTATTGGACACTAGGGTAGTTCTGCCAATCCCCATAGGCCATAGAATGGCTGTGAAGTCAGCATATTTGTACAGAGCACCACACTCAGCACTTAGTAGGTGCTCAATAAGTGGGTGTTCCCTTCCTCCTACAATTGTGTATCCTGAGACAAACTCAACCTTCCCCAGTCCCTGTCCAGGTGTCCACATCTCCCCCTGCCCCAAGGACACCCAGACCCAAGGGCAGTTCTTTGGGAAGAGAGGAGCAAGCAAGCTAGGCTCTATAACATGCACATTCAAGTGTCTAGTATATTCCCTGAACCTGTGACTCAGGGTTGCCATCAAAAGCAGCTCCTTGGTCCCTGAGCAAAGGTGTCTTAGGGAAGGGTAGCTGAAGGGCTGAGAGAGTCAGAGTGGCCATGCTCAGAACAGAGAAGGATGGGCTCCATGGCCATTGATGCTGATTCTGTTAAAAGAAAGAAAAGAGGCTCAGAGAATCAGCTTGGCCTGGGTCATACAGCAGGTGAAGCCCTATCACCCTTCCCAACTCTGCCCCTTCCCAACTCACTGAGGCAGCCAGGCTGGGAGGAACCTATGAGATAGACCTTGTAGACAATAGATCCTGGGCAACCACATGCCTGTGTCCCCTGCAGAGCTTGCTGGCCATGTCACCAGAGAAGCGGAAGGTGGCAGCTCAGGAGGGGCAGGCTTCAGAGCCCCCATCTGAGGAGCAGCCCACAGAGACACCATACACCCTGGAGGAGTTCTCCTACCAGTTCTTCAGGTGTGCGCTGCCCACACCAAGGGCTGGGAGGAGACTGGGGCCAGGGGGGCCAGGAGAGGCAGATGGAAGGGCAGGGGCCTCTTGGACTCTCCCATAGCCACCCTGGGAGGTCAAACAAGGGCAGAGAAAGCCTTAGGCCAGGCCTTCATGCAGGTTCTGGCTCCATTCCTGGCAGGGCCCCAGAGAAGGAGACTGTCAGCAGGGCCACAATGCCCCTGGCGCGTAGCCGGAACCCTCTGTGGGCCTACTCCCCAGAGCCATTGCGCCAGCCCCTGCTCAAGCATGTCTATGACAAAGCCAACCTGCGGGACATCGCCTGCCAGATCTTCCTCGATATCCTTCCCACCAATCTGCCCTGGCTGCAGGCAGGCCTAGGGGTATAGCTACCCAGAACCCCTTGAGGATCCACAACTGCCTGTGAAGAGTCAAGCCTCTCCTGAGAGAGCCCAGGGCAGAGCCAGAACTCAGCTCGCTGCAAGGATGTTTGAGCTCAGTACCAGGCCCTGGCAAGATGTCAGTGCAGGACCCAGGTCAAGGTCCAGAGGGGGGTTCTGGGGCTAGGGTCAGAACTCTGATGGAGGTTCAGCCTGTGGCTGCCCCAGCACTGTTCTCCTTGACAGCCACACCCATTCTCAAGTACACGGGCGACTACCCTTCCCGGCAGGCCTGGCAAAGCCTGGAGCTCACAGACCAGATATTCTCCCCAGCCCTGCAGGACCCGGCCCTGCAGGATGAGCTCTACTGCCAGATCCTGAAGCAGCTGACACACAACTCCATCAGGTCTGCCAAGATGTGAGCCAAGCCAAGGCATGGCCTCCTGTCCTAGGCCCTGGGTGAGGCCGCTGTTCAAGGGAGAGCAGTGGCACATGGGACTAGATGCCTGTCTGGCAACCAAAGCAGCCATGGAAAGGCCAGGAACCCCGTATGCTCTGCTAGTGTCTGTGTATGGTCAACACAGAAGGGGCAATCCTTCCCTGTACCCTGCCTACTGTCACCCTTCCTTTGTGTGACCTAGGCAGACTATGGCCTCTCTGAACCTGTTTCCGCAAAATGGGCATAGTGGCACCCCTCCTGTTTTCAAGGCATGAATGTATCCTGTTGCACTGGGCAGCTGGATTGCAGGCTGGCACCATGTAGCCTTACTGGTGTCCACTGTACCACTCCCCATTCAGACCCCCAAACCCACAGATGTTCAATCTCTGCTTCCTTGGTTCCTGGCTGGCCTGGGCACAGAAAAGAACCCTCCCACTGATGAGTATCATCCCACAGGTTCAGTGAAGAGCGAGCCTGGCAGTTGCTGTGGCTCTGCACAGGTCTCTTTCCCCCTGGCAAGGTGCTGCTACCCCATGCCCAGAAGTTCATAGACTCCCGGAGGAAAAAGTTGCTGGCCCCTGACTGCAGCCGCCGGCTCCAGAGAGTCCTAAGGTGAGCACCTGCCCTGGACCAACTCAGCTGGGGTTCACAAGGACCCAGCCCTGTGGGAGCTCATGGTCCCTAGTCAGCTGATAGAAGTCTGAGAAGGTGGGACCAGGTTGGAGCTAGCAGAAGGAGAGGGCAGGAAGCCCGGAAGGCACTGGGTTGGCAGAAATGTTTCAGGCAGGGTCAGTGGCCATCTTATCTGTGGCTCCCCTGCCTCACTTCTGCTCACTCAGGGAACAGAAGAGCCAACTGGTGGCCTAGCATAACCCAGACACCTCAGCCCAGCCCAGGGTGACTGACGTCAGAGGCTCACCACCCCCACAACCTTTGTGCCATCTCCCTCCTCCCTGCCACTATCAAGAGGGTCTTCCTAGGCTGTCTCCTGCCTTCTCTGTGTTGGCCTAGGCCATGGGCTAGTGTGGGCTGACAGTGGCATGAGTGACTACATGTAACTGCAGTAATGGAGGGAGGTGGCATCCTCTGAAGCCTCACTGGACCCACTGGGTGTCCCCTGCCCAATGCCCTAACCTCTAAGAATAAGAACATACCAGCCCTGCCCACAGTGCCACATCCAGCAGTGCCTTCCCACATGTCCCCAGCCTTCTTGCAGTCATGGGAGGTAGGACTCAGTTCATCTCTATCATGGCCTTCCCCAGGGTCACATATAGAGCCTACCAGGCAGAGGCAATCCCTGGGAAGTGTGGAGAGCTAGAACCCACCTGACTCCTGCTCTGGTCACTGGGGATTCTTGTTTCCAGCACTAGGTTAAGGTCCCCAGTGGAAGGAAGTTGGTAGCTGGGAAGGGTGCAGGATGACAAGGGTGGCATTGTGGCATGCTCTGTCCCACTCAGGATAGGACCTCGGAAGCAACCCCCACATCATATGGAGGTGAAAACTGCTGAACAGAATGTCTCCCGAATACGCCACCAGATTTACCTCCCCAATGCCACCACTGAGGTGAGTGTTGGGCCTGGCGTCCACAGAGTCTCAGGCCTCAATAGTCTGTGAGGCATACTCCCACTGTCCCAGTGTGCTCCTTGTTCACCAAAATGGAGCCATTTTCAAGGTTCCAGCTACCCCCATCTGGTTGGTAGCCTGCATGCCTCCGTGCTCTTGGCCAGCACAAGGGAACACTGCCCACTGCCCTGAGTTAAGGAGCTGTAGGATGTTGCCAGTGTGGCTAAAAGTAAAGACTGCTCCAAAGGTCTGAATTAGGATTCCAGGCCAAGAAGGAAAGAGAAAGGAAGCCAGAAGGGTGGGCAAGGTTGACTCCTGGAAGCTTGAGAATTCCTGGAAGCTTCTATGGTGAACAGAAGCCATGTGCTTTGGATCCAGAACTTGCCCTTAGTGCTTGGGAAAGCAGAGGAGACAGGCAGCAGGTGGGAGATCACCTGGCCCTGGCTGTGACAAAGAGGCCACCCTCACACACTCCACTGTACCACATGGGCTTCTGTGGCTTGGATACAATTGAATCCCTGTAATGAAAGTGCCTGACTGTAAAGTCACAAGAAAAGTCCAAAAGGTCAGACTTTCTGGGTCTAGCCTGGGCCAGGAAAGTAAGAGCTATAACTAAGCAGTGTGGCATGTGACTGGCAGTCTGTCCTCAGGACAGAGCACAGCCAGTCCAAGGTTACAAAAGCAGAAGCAAGACTAGGGAGATGGCTCCATCAGTAAAGTACTTGCCTGCAAGCATGAGGACCTGGCCCTTATATTAAAGCTGGGCTCATTAGCACACATGTCTGGAAATCCAGTGCTGGGGAAGCAGAGATTCCCTTGAGCTTATTGGCCAGTCAAGCCTAGCTTAAGGGGATGAGCTTCAAGTTCAGTGAAGGACCCTGCCTCAAAAAATAGGAAGAGCCAGGCATGGTGGTGCACACCTTCAATCCCAGCACTCGGGAGGCAGAGGCAGGCAGATCTCCGTGAGTTCAAGGCCAGTCTGGTCTATATAATGAGTTCCAGGCCAGCTGGGGCTACAGGGCGGCCCTATTTCAAAACAAGACCAATAATAATAATAATATGAAGAGCAATTAAGAAAGACACCTGACATTGACCTCTGACCTTTACACATATGCACACACATGTACATGTGCACATACTTGCAACATGTATACATACCCATATGAACACAAGGTAGGAACTTGGAGCAGGAACTGAAGCAGAGACCATAGAGGAATACTGCTTACTGGCTTGCTGTCTGTGACTTGCTCAGCTACCTTTCCTATACAGTCCAGTCCTAGCTGCCTAGGAAAGGCCCCACCTACAGCAGGCTGGACTTTCCTGCATTAATTAGCAATTAAGAAAATGCCTCTCAGACATGGCCACAGGCCAATCTTATGGAGGCATTTTCTCAGTTGAGAGTCACTCTTCCCAGGTACATCTAGGTTTGTGTCAAGTTGAGAATTGACCAGCACAGGGCTGTACTCCAGAACAGTGGTGTGGGGAGCCTTCTGACCCAAGCTAGGTCCTGGGCCTCACCTGCCACCTCTCTGTGCAGACGATGGAGGTGAGCAGCAGCAGCCGGGTACGAGACGTGTGTGAGGGCATTGCCACCAGGCTTCAGCTGGCATCCTGGGAGGGCTGCAGCCTCTTCATCAAGATCACAGACAAGGTGAACAGCCTGGTGGGCCAAAGGGTGGAGCAAGGCACTCACGTATGGGAAGGTCTTCCATACCCAGTGAACCTCAGTCTTCCCAGCAATGTTGTGCTAGGCCAGATCCCACAGTGCAAAGGTAGAGCTGACAGGGTGAAGGGAGTGGAGGGGCTAGAGTTTCAGAGCCCCCCGCCAACTGCTGGTCAACTCCCAGCCTACCAGGCCAAAGCAAATGACTGCTGGACCCAGCTTCATGGGGTCTACCAGGAGGAGACACCCTGGAAGCTTCCACGTGTGCCTCTGCCCCCTCTCCTAGGTCATCAGCCAGAAGGAAGGAGACTTCTTCTTTGACAGCTTGAGGCAGGTGTCTGACTGGGTAAAGAAAAATAAACCCCAGAAAGAAGGTGAGAAGGGTGTCTCTGTGGAATGGGTGGCTGGGGTGGAGAGGCAGGATAGGCTGCCTGCCTCCTACATTGCCTACACAGTCCAGGTTCATCTGCTCATTCACACATCCATCCATCCACTTATCATTCATCCACTCACTCCTGTACGCCCCCAGACATGCAAGTGACTAGCTTACTTCAGGATGATAGAGGAAGCCCAGGTCTTTACCCCATGGTAGGGGATGCCCAGAAACATTCCTGGAGGAGGCAGCTCCTACACTGTTCAATGAGGCGGAGTCAAGGGCCAGGAATAGCAAGAGACAGGGACTTTCCAGGCTAGGCAGCAGAAGCCATGTGAGGGCTAGGAGTGTCTGCTTCAGCAGTGGGCCAGGGAGCCTGCTGGGATAGGCTTGGTGCCCACTGCCGCCCCTCTCCCAGGGGCCTCTGTGACACTTCCCTACCAGGTGCTCTTCATGCGAAAATTGTGGTTCAGTGTGACCCCAGGGAAGGACATGAATTCAGACACCATACTCCACTACCACCAGGTACCTCTTGGAGTCACAAGGGCCATTCTCATCCTATCCCAAACTTACTCTGAAACATGGTGGTGGGGGTGGAGTTGCCTTGCCCTAAGCACCACCAACTCACTTCACCCATGAAGTGAGTAGGCCAAGCCCCTGAGGGTTTCAGGGACAGAAGAGCACAGCTCTGGGGACAGGGCCTGCAGTGGCATCTGAGGCATGACAGTGGGCGAGGGGCTCACACAATAGGCTGATGCCTAGGACACCAGCCCATGCCTCGAAAGGCCAACTCCATGTGGACAAAGTCCATGGTCACCAAAGCACAATGTCAGGGAGTCCTCACTTGTGGGTCACTCCCCTGAACAGTATCCCTACCCTGAGGGCCATCGTCTTTGGCCTGCTCAGTCACTCCAGAATGAGGGAGGCTAACATCCCAGGCTCCTGTGACATGTGGGTAAAAGTAGGGGGTGGCCAGCAGCCTGAGGCCTAGCATGTCCACCACTCAGGAGCTACCCAAGTACCTGCGTGGGTTTCACAAGTGCTCTCGGGAGGATGCTGTCCACCTAGCAGGCCTCATCTACAAGGCCCAGTTTGACAATGACCGGTCCCAACTGACTAGTATCCCCAAGATCCTGAAGGAACTGGTGCCTCAGAACCTCACACGCCTTATGTCCTCGGAGGAATGGAAAAAGGTTCTTGATGGGATCTGGGTTGATGGGCAGGCTGGTGAGCATGGGAGGTGGGTTACCTGTACCTTGCCTTTCCCTGCCCAGTCCACAGTGGTGCTGAGGTCCCACCCCTGCACTGACTTCTGGGTAGAGGGGCATTGCTCTTGCCCAGGTCTTGGAGACCTTGGATTTCCACACCATGTATGGAAGGCCCTGCCTGGGCAGAGCATCTTGCCCAGGTCCTCAATGGCCCTCTCCTCTCTCAGAGCCTCCTTCTGGAGTGTGATAAACACAAAGACAAGACAGTGGCGGAAGCCAAAGTAGCCTTTCTGAAGTGGATCTGCCGCTGGCCCACCTTTGGGTCTGCATTCTTCGAGGTGAAGGTAGGCCTTGACCTATGCCCAGCCTCTGCTACACACAGGCCCCACTCAGTTGGGCGCCCAATGGATATTAGTCGTCAGGAATGTGTGTGTTCTGGTTGTGCCCTGGGTGACCACCTAGAAAATGCCCACTTGAGGGCTGAGGAGTTACCTCAGTTGATAAAGTGCTTGCCTTGCAAACATGAGGACATGAGTTTGATCCCCAAAATCCATGTTTAAAAAAAAAAGTGTGGTGCCTACTAGTAATCCAGTGCTGGGGAGGCAGAGATAGGCAGATCCCAAGAGCCTACACATTTGGTGAATCCCCGGCTAATGAGAGACCCTGTCTCAAAATAAATAAATAAAAAGGTGGGGCCAGTGAGATGGCTAAGTGGGTAAAAGGCACTTGCCACCAAGGCTGACAACCTAAGTTTAATCCCTTGGAACCACATGGTAGAAGGAGCGAACCAACTCCCATAGTTGTCCACTGACCTCCACTTGCACACCCTGGCATGTAAATAAGTAATAAACATTTTTTTAAAAAAGGTGGACAACACCTGAGGAACAACACCCAAAGTCTCAACCTCTAAACTCCATACACATACACACATATATGCACACAAAACCACACACACATTCACCTTTATATGCAAATGCACACACAAAATAGAAAGTGACTGCCTGATCCCCAGGCTAGTCTGTGATCATTATGTGCTTTCTTCCCTAGCAAACCTCAGAGCCTTCCTACCCAGACATCCTCCTCATTGCCATCAACCGACATGGGGTGCTACTCATCCACCCCAAGACCAAGGTAGACCATCAGGGCATGTACAGGTGGGGCTGTGGTCACCTACACTGGGGTAGGATGCCTGCCTTCCTGTCACTCTCCACATACCCAGCCTGAAGCCTAGGCTCCTGCCAATTGTCTCTCTGTCCCTAGGAGCTGCTGACTACCTACCCCATCACCAAGATCTCTAGCTGGAGCAGTGGCAACACCTACTTCCACATGACTCTGGGAAGCCTGGGCCAGAGTAGTCGCTTGCTGTGTGAGACCTCTATGGTGAGTACAGGCCCCATCTCCCATCGCCACATAGCATCCAGAGGCACTGGGGACTTCCTGCTCTCATTCCTCACTGCCACCTGGAAGTTACTCACCATGAGGGACTGCCTTCCCAGGACCAGGCTGGGCCAGCCAAGGCCTTCAGGGAGGCTTGATGCATCCCCAAGACTGGCAGCCAGCAGCCATGTCTGAGGTCTTCAGGCTGGCACTGTGCTATCCCAGCCCATTCTGAGGAGAAAGGGTGGGACTTAGACTCACTAAGGCAGAGTGGCAGGGCCCCAGCAGGGGGAGCCCTCCTTCCTCACATCTGCTCCATCCTGTTGCCCCAGGGGTTCATCTGCCCCTCTGTACCCATAGCCTCTGACCCCACCCTGTCCTCTCTAGGGCTACAAGATGGACGACTTGCTGACCTCATATGTACAGCAGCTTCTGAGTGTGGTAAACAAACAGCGGGGCTCCCTGGTTCCAGCCCTGGCCAACCCTTAGCAGATCCCATCTGCACACAGAAGTCCATACTGGTCTCCCCACCTTCCCACCCATCAGCAGCCCAAATGGCTCCTTCTGAGTGCTTGCTACAGAGGCCAATGAAGGTTTCAAGTCTCCTGGTCAGCAGTGGATGGCTCCCTGTAATGCTCAATAAAAATTCACCTAGCAGAAGGAGAAAGTGTGTCTCTGAGGGTAGGTGCCAGCTGAATAGCTGGCCTGGGAGGCTCTAGCCCACCAGAGGTTCTCTTCCAGAAAAAGCAAAGGGCATTGTAACTTCTCCCAAAACCAGATGACAACTTCACTCTCCAGGAATGATTTCATCTGCCCTCTCTCCTTCCTCCTCCCTCCTTCTGCCTCCTCCCTCCTTTCCTTCTCAGACAGGGAAGAGGACTTCCCTGGAGATTCTGCTTCCAGACCCCTCTGTACACTTTTCTCCTGCCCTTATGGGTCACCAGGTTGCCTGTTCTGCTCCCAGGAGGCCTGTTGGAAGTACATACAGGAACTAGACAGGGCCTTGGAGGCCTGTTTCTCCACCCCATTGATGGACCCTGAGACACACACACACACACACACACACACACACACACACACACACACCTACCAGGCCAGTGGACATGGGCATTGGCCACCCAGGCCTGAGGGGTCCTGGATAGTGTTGTCTACAAATCCTGGTGGCAGCAGTCTGAGAAGCCTGAAACTCCCCAGGAGCTCTGTCTCTGAATGTTGGACATCCCCAGCTGGGGCTGCCGTGTTACCTCCTCCACACCCTCCACAAACCACAACAGGCACTCCCAATTTATGAATCAGCCTTCATTGTGCAAGTACAAGGCCACTGCCAAGTCTGAGCTGGCCTGGGGAATATCCCCCTGGAAGTGGGCCCTGATCCATCATGGACAGTCTGGGAAAGTTTTCTGCAAGGTCTCTCCGTGGTAGAGGCAATGGACCTCAGCCCTCCATCTGGTTCATTGCAGGGGTGGCTAGATTTGCTGGCCATGTGTGGGCACAGGGACCTGATATGGTTCAGTGATTGAAGGGTGCCCCCCAAGAGGCTTCCATCAGCATGGTGCTGGCCTAGGGTTGGGGCAGCTGCCTAGTTCAAGGATCATTCTGAGGCTGAGATTTCCCCAGAAGAGTGGAAAAGATAAGTGTCAGGCTGGGATCTGTGGTCCAAACAAGTGGCAGGTAATCTTGGCCCCAATTTGTTCCTGTTCCTGGAGGTTGTAGGCATAGGAAGAAGTGGCTATGAGCTGTGGGCCAGGCTTCAGCACACAAGACTACTATGTAGCCAGGGCAGACTGGGAAAGAAAGGGTGACATGCTAGGGTGGGGAAGGGGAAGGGCAAGAGGTGGAAAGGGAGGAGGGCAGGGGTGGAAAAGAGAGGGGAGAAGGGAAAGGGGGAGGGAGAGGTGGGGAACCTGTAAGGAAAGGGACAGGGACTGAGCAAAGTGGGAGGTGGCCTGCAGGGAGCCAGGCAGGGGGTAACAGGAGGCCAAGGGCCTTCAGGCTGAGTTGACATCCACAGACTTGGACTGGGCTTTGCGGGAGGTCAGGTCAGACAGCTTCTTCAGCCTCTTCTTCAGCTCCAGGGGGAACTTTTCATAGCATCTCTTACACACTGGCTTCATGTCAAACTCCACAAACTTGTTCCTGCAGACAAAGCCCTGAGCCTCAAGGCCCCACTTCCCTCCTACTCTCTCCAGTACCCTCTATGGTTCCCTGTTGTTCCTCAAAGCTTGAGCCCCACCTCACCTCTCATATCTCCAGTTACCTTTTCCCTAGGCTTCCTGGGAGAGTCAGCCATCTGACATGTTTGCTTTTACCTATGCTGTTCCTTGAGCCAGAATGCCTTCCCTCAGAGCCCAGAGTCCTTGTAGTGTTTTACTGCCTCTTCACCATGTCCTGGGGTCCCTGGGTCTTCCCCTTCTGCATGGCTGCCCCTGCCTCCCATACCCCCAGGGCCTTCGGAAGGCTGGTGTTCTGGAAAGGCAGACTGTAGAAAACAGAGCTGCACAGGGCCCCCCATTACTCACTTCAGGGTGAGCTTGCTGTTGCAAGTGGAGCAGGAGAAGCAGTTCACACACCAGGCTTTGTTGAGGGCTGACACCACTGTGAGGGTAGATGGGGGCTTAGTAGGCCCCACCTAGACCAGCTGCAGGCCCAGTTGTACAAAGCCAGAGACAGCTGGGCCTACAGCTGCGGAACCCACAGCCTAAGGAGGCCAGGGCTGGGGTGGGGGTGGGGGCTTATGGACAGAAAGGCCTCACCATCGCCCTCAATCACATGACTGCAGTTGTAGCAGACATCGCCAAAGAGCTGTGGACAGAGCAGAATATCATGTTGGTCATGGGCATCACATACCCCTGAGCCCTTCCTGAAGGCACCGCTGGGAAGCGCTGCCTGGGGAGGGCCACAGGCTAGGACATTGATCCCCAACTGCCCATCCTACTAAAGTCCTTCAAGGGCAAGGGCCAGGGTGGGACCCTACCACATCAACCTCTGGGGCCACAGGGGCTCATTTATCAAATGAGGACACTGCAAGGAAAGAGCAACCCATATCTCTTACATACAGGCTTCAAGACACTAAGCTTAGACCCAAGGCCTGAGCACACAGGCTTAGCCTCTGGTACTCACAGTAGGCTCCCAGTTGTTGTTCATGGACCCTCCTACTGTCGTGACAGCCCCACTCCGTTGGGGTTCCAAGGCCCCCAAATGCTCTCCAGCCCTGCGTCTTTGCAAGCTCTATCCCAGGCCTTACCTGGTTGTAGTGGGTCTCACAGTAAGCCAGACCCTTCTTCTCGTAGTGTCGGTGCCCCAGGAAGGGCTTCTCACACTTGGCGCAGACAAAGTGCTGGAGAGAGGGGGTAATCAGGAGACATAAGGGTTGGATAAGGACCCCAGGAGACAGTAAGCAGAGGTTGTTGCTCCTAGCTGGACAGAAGAGCTCACACCAGCATGGATACCTTGGGATCAGCTGGCCTTATTCCTCTTTTTTCTCTTTTCTCTTTTTGGAGACAAGGTCTTACATAGCCTAGAATGGCTTTTAACTTGCTCTGTAGTCAAGGATGACCTTGAATTCCTGATCCTCCTGCCTCCACCTCCCAAGTGGTTGGATTACAGATGTGTGGCACCATGCTCTGTTTGATACAGTGCTAGAGCTCAAACCCAGGGCTTTTTGAGTACTAGGTAAGTACTCTGCCATCTGAGCTACATTCCTAACCCTCCTGCTCTCCCTTGAACACACCACAATGACATTTTGTGTCACTAGGATCCTTCTTGGCAAACAGGTCGTGAGTCCTCCCAGGTGGAGTTGTCATGCTGTCAGCAGTACCTCCTGTGAGCTCCCCCATGACCACCAAAAGCCCAAAGACCATAAGAAGCATCCTCTGTCCTGTTTAGCATGTGAGGATACAGACGAAAGAGAAACCAGAGATTGTGTCAGGGCAGCACAGCCTCTAGCCTTTCACAGGACCTCCACCAGCCCACCCAAGGCACCACTTTTGGATACAGAGATGACTAGGTCACTGGGAATGCAAGTATTCTTTCTAAGTGTGTCTATAAGAGTGCTCAGGCCCAGGGGGAGAGCTCAGCTAAACAAGGAACCCACCAGCTCTATGTCTGTATGGGGCTATGCATGTAGCAAGCTTTACATTCCATACCCACAGTGTACAGACAGTGGCCAAGGTTTGCTCCTGACTCAAGAATCCTCTAGAGTGCCAGGAGAGATAAAGGGGAAGGTAAGTATGGCTGCTTGATCATGGCCTGTGGGCTCTGGTCTTCTGGCTCCCATGGGGCCCCTAGCCAGAGCAAGGAGAGGCTGCACCCAGAGAAAGGCCTTCACTAGGAACCAGCCAGTGTATAGCCTGGGCTAAGGTGTGGAGGGGCTGTGAACTCCACAACTTCTTAACCTGATCCATGTCCCACTGCCCAGCTCACCTCCACGTGCCACTGCTTGCCCAGTGCGTTGACCACACGGCCCTCTATGGGTCGGCGGCAGGCCCCACAGATGGGGATACCCATCTTGTCATGGCAAGGCAGACAGTAGAGTTCCCCCTTCAGCTCTCGGGCCTCAGAGGTCAGCTCCTTCCTGGAAGACGGCACAAAGCCCAGTCAGGGCTGGTAGCCCCTGCCTTTCTGCAGGGTCATAGCAGCCCCCTACCCTGGATACTGTGCCTAAGGCCATGCTCTTGTTAAACCCAGCTTGCTGTGATCTCTGGTCTCTGTAAACTTCCTGTGTTCACCCCAGACAGGCCCCAGGGCACAGAATTCTTGCCTAAGCCTGCCAAAGGGTGTCTGTGTTCTCTCCAGCTAACCTCTTGAGAAAAAGGTCCTTTTCCTTTCTCCTACCATCCCCCTGCAAAGCAGACTGGGTGTCTGGGGCAAGAATGGACCCAGAGGATCCTGTGGGGATCTGCAGTTTCTCTCTTTTCTTCCTCCCCTCTCCAACATCAGCACCAACCTTATGTATTTATTCTACACCTTACTCTCTGTTCCATCTCAATCAGAGTCCTGTAATTCAGGGGCTGCCCCTTATGCTACCTCCCCCCGCCCCAGTCATAAGTGCCCCTGAACAGATCCCTGGATAGAGGAGTTTCCCACCTCACCCCGCTTGCCCCCATAGCTCTGTGTCTCATACACTAGGCACCCTCTCTGCCTACCTGGGTGGTGGTTGGTTGAGGGGGAGGGGTGGTTCTCAGCAGCCCTCTTCTGTGACAGCCTGGATTGCTTATCCCCCACAGGGTTGGGATTAGGAACCTACCCACAGTGGGAGCAGTTGAAGTGGTCTGGGTGGTAGGCATCATTCTTGAACATGAGGGGTTGCTCATCAATGGCCAGGTGACACCGCTGGCAAATGAACTTGCCCAGGCCTTTGGCCTTCTCATGGTTGTGGCAAGGCCGGCAGAGGTGCCTGTGGGAGGCAAAGGGGATGTCAAGTGATCAACACCACCTGTGACTCGACACAGAACAACCTGGCTACTACCAGGAAAAGAAAGCCCAGGACCTTGCCTGTGACCTCAGTGACAGCTGTGTGCTTCAAAGTGCATTAGCCCAAGTTTTAGAAAAGCAAGCAGCCCAATCACAAGGCATGGAAAGACAGGGGTAAGGATTCTGAAAGGTATACCCTCCTACATTTTAAAGACTACAGGGCTACTGAGATGGTTCAATGGTACTTGCTGTCAAGCCTGACAACCTGAACTCAATCCCTGGGACACATATGGAAGGAGAGAATTGAATCTAACAAGTTTCCTCTGACCACCACATGTCTGCATTGGCATGTGAGTGCACAAGTACATGAACCCTTGAATACACAAAGCCGGACATGGTGGTGCATGCCTTTAATCCCAGCACTCAGGAGGCAGAGGCAGGTGGATCTCTGTTAGATCAAGACCGGCCTGGTCTACATAGTGAGTTCCAGGCCAGCTGGGGCTACAAGAAGACCTTGTCTCAAAAAACAAACAAAACAAAACAAAACAAAACAAAAAACACACACATATACACACAAAATGAAAAAAGTCAATATGGTGGCACACATCTGTAATCCCAGTACTGGAGAGGTGGAGACAGGCCAAACAGCTTACCCTAGTCAGTGAGTTTCAGGCCAGTGAGAAACCCTGCCTCAAAAAAACGAAGTGGGGGGCTGAAGAGATGGTTCAGTAGTTAAGAAACTGACTGCTCTTGCAGAAGACCCAGGTTCAGTTCCCAGCACCCATATGGCTGCTAACAACTATCCATAACTCCAGTTCCAGGGGATCAGATGCCCTATTCTGGCCTCTTCAGACATTGCATGATATGAGTGCACTTACATACATGCAGGCAAAAGTCATATTCGTAAAAAATTAAAATAAATTAATTTTTTTAAACCTGAGTTGGATGTCACCTCAGGAATGATAGCTGAGGTTGCCATCTGGTGTCTACATGAATACACACAGATACACAAAGACACATAGACAGACAGACACACACACACATACACACACCACACACAAAGAGAAATCCTAGAAGTTTGCTAGAGTATCTGAGGCTTCTGTCTTTGGGGAGTGTGTTTTTTTCCCAGTCTTCCTGAGCCTACTACTGTGTGGTATAGAAAACACATTTAACTGACATTTTCTGAAAGACTGGTTTTACTTATCATGTCTTTTAGCAGAAGCTATAGTGAATGTGAACCTTAGAATCCTACAAGCATGGCAGAGTATTCAAATGCATTTAGGGCCCACTAACCCCTTCCTTTGGGGTCTGCCGGATGAAGAGGGGCTGTAACACACACAGGCACTTTCTGTCTCCAGAGACAAGTGTAGCTGTGTCACACGGAGGCTCCCAAACCCAGGCACTGCCATTACAGAGTCTTTTTTGTGAAGACTTCAGAGTCATTTTTGATGCTGTTCCCTGCCCTGGGCGACAGCTGTGGTCTTAATAGAGAGAGAAAAATCAACATGGGTTCTGTTTCCTCACCCTTGAAGGTGCAAAGAATTTAGATTCAGTGTCCCCAGGTGAAGATGCACAAAAATTCTGATCCAATGTCCCTTGCTTCCTGTTCCCCACCTGCCACCCCAACAATGTGTTCCTGATAGAACCTGGTCTTCCTTCCCAGGCTTCCCAATCCACAGGGGCAACTCTCTACCCTTCACTAGTCTCCACAGTCAACTGACCATTGGCCCTTTTGTGTATGTGTATATATGTATATATGTGCAGGGGAAGGGAATGCATTTGTGTGGGTGTGTGCACATGTGCATGCTGGTCTGTGTGTACATGTGTGGAGGCCAGAGGTCTGTGTCAGGTGTTTCCTTCAATCACCCTCCACCTTGTTTTGTTTTGTTTGGTTTGGTTTGGTTTATTTTGTTTGAGACAGGATCTCTGTATACCTCCAACTGGTCTGGAACTTATTATGTCAACCAGGCTGGCCTCGATTTCATAGAGATCTGCTTGCCTTCACTTCCTGAGTGCTGGGGTTAAAGGTGCATACCATCACACCCAGTCCTCCACCATATATATATTGAGATAAGATCACTTATTGAACTGGGACCTCACCAATTTGGCTACATTAGCTAATAAACTCCAGGAATCAGTCTGTCTCCATCTCCTCATTGCTGAAGTTGTGGACACATGCACCATACCTGGCTTTTGCATGGGTGCTGGTGATCTAAATTGAAGTCCTGATGCTTTGAACAACAGCACTTTATCAACTGAGCAATATCCCCAATCCACATCATTGACCCTTTTCATGGCCTGATCACAGAAATTGATTCACCAAGACCAACCAGCCAAGAACATGGAGTGGAAATCCCTGCTACTTCTGTGGGGGTCTGAACTCATTCCAGAGAATCCCTCTCTACTTGCTCTGGGGGTTTATCTTCCTAGCTGGTACACAGGGCTAGTGGCCCAAGAGAGGTTTTTGGTGGCCACCTGCTAAGCTGCTGACCATGCCTCTACTAGACCCTGAGTGCCCATCATGAGGAAGTAGCTCAGTATCCATTTGTTGAATGTGTGAGTGAATGAGTGATTGTACAAGAAAGGAGAAGGGGAACAGTAGCCATCATCTCCCTGGGACAACATAGCCAAGTCAAAACTGGGAACCAGTCTCGTGACCCAGGCCACCTGGGCTCTTCCTACCCACAACAGACAGCAGATGTGGCCTGTGGCTACAACCTTCATTTCTGTGATCCCTGGAGCCCATCTTCATGCAGACACCTGTGCCCTAACTTCATCCAAGGCACCTGCACAGTAGGCCCAAGGCACAGGTACCCTACCCAGTTACCCATTGTGGCCAGCTCCCTCTTTCTACCTGTGCTTCTGTCAGTCACAGCCTTGTTTCCCATAACCCCACTCCAAATTTTGTAGCTCCTCCCTAGTATCAAGGCAGCATTCGACCAATACATAAGAACTCTAGGTAAGGTGGTGCCCATGCCACAGATCAGGAAGCTGAGGCAAGAAGATCATGAGTTGGAGTCCAACCTGGGCTACATGTCAAGACCCTGTGTCACTCTCCAGAACCCACATAAAAAATAAGCTTGGAATGCCAGTCTTAGTGGCTCATGCCTTTAGTTCCAACACTAGGGAGGCAAAGGCAAGTTAATCTCTGAGTTCAAGGTCAGACTGGTCTACATAGCAAGCTCCGGGCCAGGCGGTGCTACATCCCCAGCCCTAATTTTAAACATTTTAATGAAAAAAAGTCTTTTGAAACTAGAAATGCTGACTTGGCTGCCCCATTAGTGATATGTTAGGTTTGATGAGTTTTGATGAACCCTGGGAGACACCCAACACACCCCAGCATTGAGCTCCCTCAGGAGTCTCAGGCTTCAGTCACCATGACACTGAGGTCCTCCTGTAGGCCACCCTCTGCAGAGCAGGGGCCCTCCAAGCTAAGGGCCAAGCCTCCTAGGCTGAGCTGTGTCTCCATGGGACAGACAGCGCCCCCATTATGAGGCAGCCTGCAGCTGTGCCCAGCTCAGTATAAAGGCCATGATTTATTCCACAGAGCCCATCGGAGCCTAATTATACAGGGCAGGACACAAGGATCCTACAGCAAGTGTCTGAAAGAATCCCCTCATCTGGCCCAACAAGACTCCTCAGCTCCCAACCCTCGCAGGCACTGCACTGCACAAAACCTCCCCTCCCACCAGCCCAGCAGGCTTGGGAGCCTGGCCTGTTGCCATGGTGGCTAGCCCCTCCCTATTCCCCCCCTAGTAGGAAATCATCCTCTTGAAACGTCCTGTTGTGTCTGTCGGTTCCAGCCAAAGACCCCCACCCAGCCCTAAGCCCTAACCCACTCCCAGGCTCCCAGGACAGCCACACACTTGGCCTCTGTGAAGCTCTGTGGCTTAGCCTGGGGACGGGGGTGGGGTTGCACACAGGCTGAGGACACACTAGAATATTCACGACAGGCCCTATGGCAGCAGAGGCAGCCGGAGGAGCAACCCACCCCCACAAAGAACTCCTCAGGAATGAAGCAGTCTTTCAGGGCCGGAGGGGCTGCAGGCTCCTCTGCTCTCCTTAAATAGCCAAGCCTTCCTCCTACTGCTGCACGGAGTTCACCGGGAGCACCACCCAGAGCACCACCCACGGCCAGCCCACAGCTCACCTGCTACCCCCAGACGCCTGCCCTTTCCCTCCTGGGTCATCTGCAAGAGGTAAGGGGCAGGGACGGGCAAAGAGTGCAGAAGATGGGCAGAGATGATGGTAGAGACACCATACACTGACACAGGGCCCTGAGCTCTCTTTAATGCTAATTCCACCATCCTGAAATTCATACTTTCTACTGTTTTATTTATTTATTTATTTATTTATTTATTTATTTATTTATTTATCAGCGACATACTTCTTCCAGGGCTTCCTCCTAAACCTTGGCCAACAGCACCACCAAGTAGGAACCTAGTGTTCAAATATTTGAACCTATGGAGGCCATTCTCATTCAAACTGCCACAAACTCTAAGCATATGAGCTGTATTATTTACCTCCTCTGTGCATGGGAGTATGGCAATTTAATCTATCCATGACGTTGTTGCTTTTTTTTTACTTCATTTTAATTGGGACATGGTCTCATGTATCCCAGGCTGGTCTTGAACTCTGTATAACAGAGGATGACCTTGAACTCATGATCCTCCTACCTCCACCTCCCAAATACTAGGATTGCAGACATGTGCCACCTTGCCCGGTTTATGCAGTGCTAAGGAACTGAACAGAAGTCTTTGTGCAAAGCAGGCAAACTCTCTATCAACTGAGCTACATTCCCAGCCCAAATTCTTACTTTTTGACCAAGGGATTATGCATTCTCATTTCACACTGACTGTCCCCTCCCTGCCCCAGCCAATTAGATAGTCCTGGAGCCTGGCCCAAAGAAAAGGACACTGGGCAACTGAGTACATGTTCTATGACAAGCCACACTCCTAGCTCTTTTGGCCCCGAGATGAGATTGTCTTGGGAAGCCCAGGACTCCCTCACACCCCACCTCGGGCTGTGAAACACACATACTAGCTGGGAAGGTACTCCCTGCTACTCTGAGGCCATGACAAAGGTCCTCCTAAACCCAGCTCTCACCCAAAAAGCTGTTCAAAGTGGAGTTGACCAGCTGAATGTAGAAAACTCCAGAGACCAGAGCTTTCAGGTGCTGTTGCACAGAGTGTGCCCAATGTAGTCCTAAAGGAACCCTGCAGGAAGCAGGTGCAGAGGCCCCCAAAGGTGGGGCAGAAAGCAGTGATACGTTGCTCACCAGCAGACCAAGAAAGCAGGTCAGAGAGGTCCTGGGACTTGGGTTAAGCAGGTTTACCTTGCAAGTCAACACTGAAGGACTGGTGGATGACAAACCCTGGGCTCTTGTCAGCAGATCTTACCTACTCACCTATGGGGAGCTGGGCTAAGAAACCCCCCAAAAAATACCTTACCTGATGGGAGTGGGGTTAGAAAAGAAAATAAGCCCTCTCTGCCCCCCTGTAACTCCAGACAATCGAGGCTTGCATCCTTTCCTCACAATGCGGACTCCATCCTCCCCAGGCCTGAGAGAATGGACAGGCCTAGTGTGTGGAGGAGCTTTTGGTTTCTGGGTCTTTCAGCAACCACCTCATGCCCTCCCTGCTTGGTGGAGAAACCAAGCCTCAGTTTGGATTTGGCCTTTGACTAAAGTTCAGAATGCTTCTGAGGCTCAGTCAATTCCAATGGACATAGACGGTCCCCCAGATATAAGTGGTCTTAGTTTAGCAGTCACACCAAGCTTGGAGCAGCTCTATCCCTCTCAACTTAGCGATAGGAGACTTTGAAGGCAATTGGAGGTCCTGCCTCTGACTTTGGGGTGCTTGTGAAGCGTTACCATCCTAAGATGCCCGTGATCTGTTTCTGCTTTGTCCCTCGCTCTGCCTTCAGCCACAGCATGAATGGTCTGGAGGCATCCTTCCCAAGTCTGACCGACAACTCGTCCCTGGCTGACTCAGAGCAATGTGGGCAGGAGACCCCACTGGAAAATATGCTGTTCACCTGCTTCTACCTCCTGGATTTCATTCTGGCTTTTGTGGGCAATGCCCTGGCCCTGTGGCTTTTCATCCGGGACCACAAGTCTGGCACCCCGGCCAACGTGTTCCTGATGCACCTGGCTGTTGCCGACTTGTCCTGTGTGCTGGTCCTGCCTACCCGGCTGGTTTATCACTTCTCTGGGAACCACTGGCCATTTGGGGAAATCCCATGCAGACTCACCGGCTTCCTCTTCTACCTCAACATGTATGCCAGCATCTATTTCCTCACCTGCATCAGTGCTGACCGCTTCCTGGCTATTGTGCACCCAGTGAAGTCCCTCAAGCTGCGAAGGCCCCTCTATGCCCATCTGGCCTGTGCCTTCCTGTGGGTGGTGGTGGCTGTGGCCATGGCCCCTCTGCTGGTTAGCCCTCAGACAGTGCAGACCAACCACACTGTTGTCTGCTTGCAGCTGTACCGGGAAAAGGCCTCCCACCATGCCTTAGTGTCCCTGGCCGTGGCCTTCACCTTCCCATTCATCACCACAGTGACCTGCTACTTGCTGATTATCCGCAGTCTGCGAAAGGGCCCCCGTGTGGAGAAGCGCCTCAAGAACAAAGCAGTTCGCATGATCGCTATGGTTCTGGCGATCTTCCTGGTCTGTTTCGTGCCTTACCACATCCATCGTTCTGTCTATGTGCTGCACTACCATGGTGGCCAGACGTCATGCACCACCCAGCGTGTCCTGGCCCTAGGGAACCGCATCACCTCCTGCCTCACTAGCCTCAATGGGGCACTGGATCCGGTCATGTACTTCTTTGTGGCTGAGAAGTTTCGCCATGCCCTGTGCAACTTGCTCTGCGGCAAACGACTCACAGGCCCACCCCCTAGCTTTGAAGGGAAAACCAACGAGAGCTCTCTGAGCGCCCGATCTGAGCTGTGAGTCTCAAGGAGGCCCTGTGTCCAGGCCAACTGTAGACTGTTGCAGGAGGACCACCCACCCCTGGGGCACATGTTATCAGAGCCAGCAAGAGAAGTCTACCTTCTCCCACTGCTTCCTGAGCAAACTGAACTGTCATCAGGTCCTCGTCCTCCTCCAAGGTTTGAATTACAAGGTCAGAGCAAACCCATCAAGAGGAAGAACTAAAAACAGGGATGTCCTGGCCACTCCTCCACAGAGACTGGATTGGCCCTGCTTCCCAGTAATTCCCAGACACTCAGTGACTTCACCCATGCTAAGGAGGGAAGTGGGCCAGGGGGACATTTCTGGAACAATGGGAGTCTTTCTTCCCCACTACGCTGTCATAGACACACACAGCCACAAAGCCCTATAGAATGACCCAGAAGGCAGGCTGCCCAGGGCCCAGGAGAAGAGTCACCATGAATCTCAGTGGAGGCTGGAGAAATGGCTACTATTTCCTTTAAAGTTCATGGTATATCGAGTAGCCCTTATGGTGCCTTTGCCAGATGGTCTCTCTGAGTTTAGGGGACACAGACTCTAAATGACAGCCACATGTAAGTACATTTCAGACTGGTTACAGGTGAGCCCAGCAAACACCACTCTGGACCCCACCCCTCCTGCCTCTAGCATAACAATATCTGAAGTGTATCAGCAGAAGGTGCCCTGGTTAAGCACTTAGCATTGATGAACAGCTGCAAGAGTCCACTGCAGGCAGGGAGCCAGACATGTGAATCTATCTCCAGTTCATTCAAACCCTGGCAGGGGTGTCCTGAGCCCCACTCCCTCCCAAGAGGCCGCCGCCAGCCTCAGCTGCCTGTCTTGAGCTGCTGTTCTGGGCAGTATGCATTGATTGTTCTGACATTGGTTTTGCACTTTTCTGTGCTGCTCATATACATAATTGAGGCTTAAGACAAAGGAAGCTACTGTGCAGGCTCAAAATGACACATGACATCCTCCCCCGAACTTCTCTACCCTTCCACTCAAGAATGGCCAAGCGATGCTGCATGGGGCAGAAGTAGGGAAGCGCCTTCTGTGCTGATGTTCTGGTGGCATGGCACCTTGACATGGCATGTCTGCCTCAGGCAGACCGAAAGGAGGGCTCTCAGACTCACCCCTCTTCAGCTGTGTCCTGTGCATCATTAGAGCAACTTTGTAATCTTCAATTACATTTTACCTTCCAAAGCACAAGGCGCTGGCCCTGTGTAAGCCTTAACTCAGAAAGGGGTCAGGATTCACTTGGGGGACAATCTAGCTGATGATAACCCTACTGCTCAGCACTGCCCCTTACATGTACTGGCCCACATATCCTCAGTACACCATCTACCCCATGGCCCCTCACCAAGATATCCTGATGAGGGCCAGCCCATGCCAGCCCTACATGTGCCTCTCTTAAAAGAGCAGCAGTGGAACAACCACTGCAGGCTGAGAGAGAAGTGGCCAGGGCTGTGACGGAGAACCAAGTGCTCCAACAAGAAGAGAATGACAGTGACAGTCTGATAAAAACCTGGTTGGCGGGGGGTGGCGGGTCTGGAAGGCAGCACTGCCTTTCCTGACACTGCGGATAAAGAAGTAAACTTGGGTCAGCAGAGAAGGAACTTGCAGTTCAGTTTGGGATTCGTTGCATTGGAATCTCACATGGAGATGCCACATAGACAGTGAAATAGAGCAACGGAGATGTGTGGATGGGCGTCTGGACTGCCCAGACATGCCTTTGAGAGGCCCAAGACTTTATTTTCAAGGACAGGCATGGGGCTGAGGACAAAGCCCCCAAAAACCACCTCGATGAAGAGAAAGAAGCTGGAGGAAGCTAGCACAGCATGGAGTCCTCATGGAGAAAGGAGGTGGTTCCGCCCGACTCCCTCCCAAGAAGCCTCCACCAGCCTCAGCTGCCTGGCTTGAGTGGCTGTGCAGGGCAGTATGCTGAACCACTGGAAAGTCAAGGGGAGCACTTGACATGCTGAGGGCTGGCCTGAGATGCAGAGTGGGCCAGCAAGTGTGCTGGGAGGGGTTCAGGTGGGAGGTGTGGCCTTGACTATAGACAGTGAGAAGGCAGGATGAGGAGAAAGTAAGGCTTCTAAGGGGGAACTTTCCAGAAGTTTGATCCTAAACTTAAACTGGGCAACCCAGTTAATGAATTTTCTCTAACATGTTCAAGCATGTGGGTACAAGGGGGAAGGCAGACATCTGGGGCCACATTGGTGGAGTAATGGGGGGAGGGTAGTAATAGAGATTTGTCAGCTCAAAGCTCCTTATCCATATACAGTTGCTCAGGAGCCCTTGTGTCTGCTGTCCCAAGGAGCACCTCTTGTCCTGGGAGAGCCTTGTCTGCCCTCACTCTCCCAGCCTCAGTCCTCTTCCATACCCTGGGGGCTGTGTTCTTTGTCTTGTGGAGATGGAGCAGCCCACAGCCAGAATATACAGGATACCACAGAGCCTGGAAGGTGCCTGGTACTTGGACCATAGCACTTGCAGCAGGGGCAAGTGAATCTCTTCTCTGCCCAGGGCTGCAGCCACCTCACCTGCCTGCATTCTTCACGAAGCCCAGGTCAGCCAGCTCCACATCACACAGCTCACAGCGGAAGCAGCCTGGATGCCAGTTGGTGTTCATGGCCTTGATCACACGTCCAATGACAAACTCGCCTGGAAGAAGAGAGGTCTCACCTGCCAAGCAGGACACTTTCCACCCTCTAGCCTCTCCCAAGCCCTGTGCACACTGGCGCTCCTCCCAGCTCAGCCTTGTCCAAGCACCTCTGTGTCCTGAGAGGCAATGCTCAGAGGGACAGAGTAATGTGGTCAGGAAAGAGCACCAGTCTAGGCAGTACCAGTACTGCCTGGTCCCCCTCCCTGGTCCCTCACTTGTCCCTTTCCCATTTCCAGAGTATTGTCACCAGCCCTTACCACAGAATCCGCAGCATGGAGCAAACAGCATTTGGAAGTCATGTTCACAGTACTTTCGACCCTCAAACTGCAAACAGGGCCACAGACAAAAGACAAGCAAATCACCCATTATTCCCATAAGCCTTTGCCCCATCAGGGCCCTGACAGCAGTGGCGGGGGAGGGTGGTGTGTGTGTGTGTGTGTGTGTGTGTGTGTGTGTGTGTGTGTGGTGTGTGTGCTGACTGACAAGATGGCCTTCTAGGGTCAGCTAGAGCAGGAGACTGGCCCATGCAATATAGCAAAGTGAGGAGCCTCACAGGAGCTGCTGAGGTCCCCAGGGCCAGTTCTCAGGGACTCTGCTGTGTGCTGAGGACCTTGGATCCGTAGATCCTGATAGCAGGCTGAGCTGAGGTAAGAGCTGGTACTGGGGTCAAATTTGAGTCACACGAATCACTTTGTCCTTCATGTGTGGCCAGCCTAGCTCCCCCAAAGGCTGAAAAAGACACTGGAAGGGAAGAGGGAAGGAAGGGAACACAAGGAGGGCCTGAAGAGTTGGGGTTACAAAGAAGCAGCCAAGAGCTACAGTCAGCCCCTGTCTGTCATGGCCCCAAGTTTGGCCAAAGCCTGTCTCTGTCTTCCTTTCCTTTAACAATTTGTTCTCTATATTAAAATCTTGGGGCTGGGGATATAGTTCAGTCAGGAGAGTGCTTGCCAGAAGTGTCAGCAAGCATGAAGCCTGGGTTTGATCCCCAGTACTGCACGAATTGGATGAGGTGGTACACATCTGAAATCTCAGCACTTGAGTAATGGAGGCAGGAGGATCAGAAGTTCAAGGTCATCCTTAATAACTTCCTTCTACCAAAGCTACATGTAGCTGTAGCCAGTGAGCCAGAGAGGCTGCAGAGTCCTGAATTTCCTCTGCAGCAATAAGTGCCTGCTGTGTGCTGAGCTTGGTTCTGCTCCATAGCCCCTCACAGAGTTCTGACCAACCTTCTGCTGCCTCTACAGCCAGCCAGCATCACCTAGGAGACTGGAAAACAGAAGGAGATCCTAATCTGACATGTAGCCCCCGTGCCCACATCAGACTCCACCAATAATGCCATCAGCTTCACCAGAGACCACAGCCCCCTCTGAGCTCTGGTACCATCCACTGAAGCCCAGTGGAGTGGCAGCCAGTGTTTAACCAGCTCTGGGGAGGGTCCAGAGGCCCTGACTCATTTTCTGCCATCTGCTGTGGTGTGAATCTTCCTGCCAGGCTGATGCCACACTGACACTGGCATGGGGATGAGAAGACACACAAATGGCTACTACATAGACAGAAATAACCTCAGAAGCATAGATGACAGGACAGTCTAACAAAATAATGAGAAGTACTTGTTACCTTCATTTTTAATAAAATGCTATACTCCTATGCATTGATATGGTTTGTGTGTATGTGTACATACGTGCATGCAGGTGTGTGTACATGTGTGTGTACATGCCTGTGGAGGTCAGAGGACAACCTCAGGTGTCATTCCTCAAGCACTATCTGTTATTTTTTAAGTACATTTTATTATTTTTATTTTATGTGTATGATTATATTGCCTGCATGTATGTAAGTGCAACCATGTCGTGCAATGCCCTTGGAGGTCAGAAGAGGGCGTTGGATCCCCTGGAACTGGAGTTACAGATGATTAATAGCTGTCATGTAGGTGCTGGGAATCAAACCTGGATCCTCTGCAAGAGCAGCCAATTCTCTCCAGCCCCCTTGGGGCTCCCCAGTTAGGCTAGACTGACTGGCTATCCAGTGGGCCCAGGGATCCATCTGTCTCCGCCTTTCCAGCACTGGGATTACAAGCATGTGCCACCAAGTCCTGCTTTTTTTACATGGATTCTAGAGCTCAAGTGCTGATGCTTACAAGGCAAGCACTCTAATGACTAAGCATCTCCCTAGCCCCATATGAGTTACTTTTTAACAGTGGCTATGTTTAATGAGGAAAAAATTAACCTGCTCTTGTGAGCTGGTGTGGGGCAGTGCAGATATCTCTACTTTCATCTGGACTATCTCAATACTTAGTGATCCCACCTGTTCCTGCCTTGCTTACAATCTCTATACAGCACAATGACTGAGAGATCTCAAAAGGTCTCTCTCTCTCTCTCTCTCTCTCTCTCTCTCTCTCTCTCTCTCTCTCATTTTGGGGGACAATTTCTCTTTGTAGCCTCCCACATGCTGGTGTTACAGCACATGTCCCATACCAGGCTTCAGAGGAGTCCTTTTCACAGGTTGGGCAATGGTGTGACTCCTCTGTTCCCACCCCAAGTGGATGTAGTATCTTGTGGAGAGGAAGCTCAAGGTCCCAAAGGAGAGCCCACCTCCATATTTATCCCATCCCCTGCCTCTCCCTTTCATCCCCAGCCTCTATTTCCATCACACCAGGCTCTTTTCTCCCCCCAAACACCCCACATACTCTCACCCCAGGACTTTTGCACATGCTGTGTTCTCTCCTCAGCTCTCTGCAAACATCACCTTCCTGGAGCTCCCACCCTAAGAGTCCTTATTATCAAAGTACCCTCACCAGCTGATGGTTGATTCAGCCACAGAGTTTACTGTCTGTCCAGTCCAATGAAGAGCAAACACCATGATATAGGGTCTTCCTAGCCCAGGACCTGCCCAGAACTTGTCCAGGAGAGGCTGGGTAAAGAAGGGCAACTCAAGAGGTTCCTAGGCAAGGGATGGGCCAACACAGTATGTGAAACTCAGCTCCTCTGCCCCAAGCCCAGTTAGGTCACTGGACAGCCACAGACTCTCCAAGAGCAGCCACTGTCTAAAAGCCTCCTCACCTCATAGAACAGCCCCTCTGGGAATGGCCGGAAGCACTGAGCACACACAAAGCAGTGCTCATGGTAGAGCTCCCCGTTGCTGTTGACGATGCGCTCCACAGGGGTAAAACGGGCCTGGCAGCGCTGGCAGACAGCATTGGCCAAGGCATCAGACATGTTGCTGGAGGAGAAAGAAGGAGAAGGTCATACTGGGCTAAGGGCCAGGTGCAGCAAGCTTGCAGGGCTGGGCCTAGGACATAGCCCTGCTCAAAAGGTAGGGATAACCTGAAATGGCCACAAATGTGGCACAAAACAGTAAATTTAAAACATTATGAAATTTTGCCAGGGGGTGGTACACACCTTTAATTCTAGCACCCGGGAGGCAGAGGCAGGCTGATCTCTGTGAGTTGAAGGCCAGCCTGGTCTATATAGTGAGTTCTAGGCCAGCTAGGGCTACAGGGAGACCCTGTCTCAAAAAGATGAAAAAAATATGAAATATTGTATTTGGAGGTACATATGTATAGGTATAGTGGTATGGAGGGGAGGGAGAGAGAGAGAGAGAGAGAGAGAGAGAGAGAGAGAGAGAGAGAACAAATTGTGGGGGGTAGCTGTATGTTAGAGGACAAAGTCAGCTGGGGTATGTAGGTGGGTGTGTATATGTGTGTGTCAGAGGACAAAGTCAGCTGGGATGTGGGAGGATGGAGGACTTGCAGGGGTGGGAGGGTGGAGGGTTGTATATGTGTGTGTGTATCAAGGGACAACCTCAGCTGGTGTGTGTGTGTGTGTGTGTGTGTGTGTGTGTGTGTGTGTGTGCGCGCGCCAGAGGCAACCTCAGCTGTTTTTCAGGCACCATCTACCTTTTTATGAAAAGACCTTTCACTGAAGCACCCTAAGTAAATTAGGCTGGCTTGCCAGCAAGCACCAAGGATCCACCTGTCTCCCCAGTGGTGAGATTATAAGCACAATTTATCACACATGGCTGCTTCACCATACCCTCCCCCACCATGATAGCACCTCTAAGACCATGAGCAAAATAAACCTTTCCTTCTTGAATAGTTTGTTGGGTATTTTTGTCACAGTGACAAAAGGCTAACTCACAGAGGAGGGAAGGCCACTTATGCAAAGGAGAAGGGGAAACGGAGAGCATGGCCAGACAGGCAGGGACTCTAGGCTCAACCCAAACATAGTCCAGTCCTGACAGCCCCAGCAAGCAACTGCTGAACCTACAAGGCAGAGACCTCTCTGGGCCTCACTTCTTCTTGGTAAAGAGGCACACCAGGAGCTAAGGAGATGGCACAGTCAGTAAAGTGCTTGTCACACAGGCACAAAGACTTGAGTCTGATCCCCAAAAGCCCACATTTTTTAAAAAAAGCCAGGTATAGTGACACCTCCTTATAATCCCAGTACTGTGGAAGCAGAGACAAACAGATCCCCGGGGCTCTCTGGCCCCACCACCTTCTCTCAAAAAAAAAGTTCAAGGTATAGGCCTAGGGAGATGGCTCAGTGGATAAAAGTGCCGATGGCACAAGTACAAGAAGCTAGGTTTGAAGCCTCAGAACCCACATGAAGTCAAGGGCAGAGCTCAAGTGTTTGTAATCCAGCACCCCTATGGTGAGATGAGAGGCAAAGATGAGATTCCCCAGAAGCCTGTGGGCAGCTAGCCTGGAAAACACAGCAACAAACAACAGACAGTCTCAAACAGGATGGAGGACCAACACCAAATGATGTCCTCTGACCTCCATATGTACACACCATGGGACACCCACATTCACACATATACATAAAGGGAAAAATACAAAGGAAAAAAAAAACAAGGTGGAGAGTGACTGAGGAAGAGAAGACATCTAATGTTAGCTTCTGGCCTACACACATGCACACCCATATGCATACACACGCACACACACACACACACACATATACACACACACACTCACACACACAAAGAGGAGCACAAAGGGCACAGAAAGCTCAGGGCTGGGCAGGCTACATGCTGCAGAAAGAGAGGCTATTGTTTTCCTGTAACTCTGGGAGTCTTCCAGAGCCCCCACCCCCACCCCGATGTGGCCAGGCCAGGCCTATGGGCTGCCTGTGCTCCCTGCAAGAAGGCAGAGGGTCAAAGCTATAGACATTCCACGTCTTCCTTCACACATTCCACCTGAGAACAGGGAGCATCCTCTGAGGAAACAGCCTGCCACACACCCAGTGTACAACACAGCACTGCACATTCCTGAAAGCTAAGCCCAGAGCTGAGTGTGTACACCAGCTTGCTCCCTTTCTTCAACAACAGCCCCAGCACCCCAAAACTCTCAGTCTGGACAGATGGAACAAGTCAAATTGTTACAAGGCATCCCTAAGTTTGACAGTGAAAGGACAGTCTGGGGTGAGATATGGGATTCTCTCTGTGCTAAGGACACTAAAGCACAGAGTAGGGGACCTACTGAGGGGTCACCCAGGGCTAGGCTCATGCCTCCTTACTGTCCCCTTAACCCCCAGGGCATCACACAGACACAGCCACCCCAGATGATTTCTTCCCTGACTCAATGCCCCACATACAAGTGAGAGACCTGGGAAGAGGCCCTAGATTGGTCATAGGGCACTGGTCAGACACAGAGTGGCTATACACCAACAACAGAGTACGAGGTGCTCTGGTTTTTTTACAAGAAGGTACTCTGAGTTGGTTTTATTTTTATTGCTTTTTTTGTGTTTGTTTGGATTGGGTTTGCTTTATTTATTTATTTATTTATTATTTATTTTGAGACAAGAGCTCATGTATCAACTCCGGGTAGCCAACAATGATCTTGAACTTCTTTTAAAAAGTTTTACTTTTTACTTGGGCAGCGCATGATGACACATGCCTTTAATCCCAGCACTTGGGGCAGAGGCAAGTGGATCTCTGTGAGTTTGAGACCAACCTGGTCTACATAGCAAGTTCCAGGCCAGGCAAAAAAAAGATTTTATTTGTTTTCATTATTTATATGTTTGTGTGTGTGTGTGTGTGTGTGTGTGTGTGTGCACATGCTGTACCATGGCACCATGTTTGGAGGTTAGAGGACAACTTTCAGGAGTTTATTCTCTCGTTCTGCTCTGTGGCTCCCTGGAATCAAACACAGGTCATCAGGCTTGGTGACAAGTGTCTTTACCTGCTGAGCCCTCTCACTAGCCTGATCTTGAATTTCTGATCCTATTGTTTCCACCTCCTGAGTGCTAGAATTTCATGTATGCACCAGTATGCCAGGTTTATGCAGGGCTGGGAATCTACCCAGGGCCTTGTGCATGTTAGTCAAGCCCTCTCCAACTGAGTTATATCCCCAGTCCATGCAAAAAAGTCCTGTGAACTTCAACTCCCTCGTCTGTAAAATGGGCCCAACATCAGCTGTCTCCAAGTACTGAAGGAGAGCAGAGTTTGGTAGTGACCTGCAGAACAGTCATATACAAGCTCCAGCAGCCGCTGCCTACTCTCATGTATCAGATCTTTACTGGGCACCTGCACTATTCTAGGCACTAGCCAGGTTCAGCATATGGAGAGGCTTCCTCTGCAGCAAGCACAGCCTCTGAAGTTCCATGAAGCATTCTTCATGGAACTTCTGCCCTAGAACTGCCTGGCCCTTCTCCCTACCCTCCTCCTGTGATACAGCATTAGGGGTCACCAGGTTGCACACAGTAAACAGAAATTGACATAAAGCCAGCTCCACTCCCCACCATGAGGATGCTAGGAAATTAACTTGCTGCCTTCAAAAATTTTACACAGGATGAATTTACACCATCAGAAACATATTCCAGGGTCCTAGGGTGTGTTCAGCCAGTAGAGTGCTTGCCTGGCATGCAGCCCCGGGTTGGATCCTCAGCACTGCATAAAACTGGGTATGGTGATACACACCTATAATCCCAGCACTGGGAGGGTGAAGGCAGGAGGATCAAAAGGTCAAGGTCATAATCAGCTATATAGCTGGTTGAAGGCCAGCTTGAACTACATGAAACTTTGTCTGAAAAGAAAAAAAGGGAGGGGAGGAGAGGGCAGGGGAGGGCAGGGGAGGGGAGAGGCAGGGAGAGGAGAGGAGGAAAGGGAAGGGGAGGGGAGGGGAGGGGAGAAGAGAAGAAGGGACCGAACGAGAGGGGAGAAGGGAAGGCATGTTAAAATATCGACTGGGAAGAAATCCTGTTCACATTGTTATTACAGGGGAAGGGAAGGGAAGGGAAGGGAAGGGAAGGGAAGGGAAGGGAAGGGAAGGGAAGGATATATTCCCTTCCAAATTTCCCAATCCAGCCAAACCGTCTTTGGTGACAGCTTTTTGGAAGCCTTAGCTGTACCCCTTTGGTCCTGCAGCTTTGTTTCCTTCTATCAAGGACACTTCAAACATGTTCCAACAGAGAACTAGCAGTAGGTATGAACCAGAAATTCAAAGTAAACTGAAATCAGGTGTATATAAATGTTGCATGTGTGCAAGGCCTGGGCTTCATTACTGGGCCCACATCTTTCCTTGTGCATTGATCATGTTGTTGGGTTATATCCAACTGAGGTTACTCTCCAGTGTAACCCACAGTCCTCAATGCCCTGGCCACCCACACCCTGGTATCAAAGTTCACACTTCACACAATCAAGGTTGACCAATGAAGGTTCTGTTCCAGCTAGGCCACACTACTCAGTTTCCTGAATGTCAGATCCCTTACCTGTGCTGGCCTGTGCTGGGCCCCCAAGGCACTTCACAGATAGCCATTCTGCATTGCTGCCCACCCAATACCTTCCCTCTGCCTCTGTTCTCAGCATGTGTATGGCACACACACACACACACACACACACACACACACACATACACAATTGCAATCACATATGTGGATGCACATGCACTTGTGTGGCTATTGATGTGGAAACCCAAGGTCAAAATCAGATGTCTTCCTCAGTTGCTTTTCCACCTTATTTTTGGGTTTATTTTCAATTTGAGTATGAGTATGTTGCCTGCATGTATTAAGTGTAATGTGTGTGCAATGCCCATGAAGGCCAGAAGAGGGTGATAGACCCCTAGAACTGGAGTTACTGGTGGTTATTAGGCACCATGTGGGTGCTGGGAACCGAACCCATGTCCTCTGCAAGAGAAGCCAATGCTCTTAACCACTGAGTCATCTCTCTAGCCCCCTTCACCTTATTTTTTGACACAGGGTCTCTCACTGAACCCGGAGCTCACT